AAATTTGACCATAAGGTTAAATACCACAAAAGGAAGGTTGGGATTGATTTTGGGGGTTATGGTACCAACAGTTAAGGAATTAGGGGCCAAAAAGGGGCCAAAAATGAGCATTTTCTAGTTTCCAGACAATAACTGTGGAACGGTGTATGGATCTCTCTGAAATTATACTACAAGTTTCCATACCACAAAGGGATGGTTAGGATTTGCTTTGGGGGGTTATGGCTCAAACCGTTTAGGAATTAGGGGCAAAAAAGGGGGAAAAACAAGGTTGTCCTGGTTAATGGACAAATACTTTAGTACAAAACATAATTTAAAGCAGTGTAAGGGAGATAAATCAAATACATCATTGAAATTATCTCCCTTACACTGCTTTTAAATTATGTATAAAGTAATGGTTAATGAACAATAAAGATAATCTAAAACAGTGTAAGGGAGGTAATCCAAATACAACGTTTTGGTTACTTCCCTTACACTGCTTTTAAATTATGTTTAAAGAAATGCATATTTATAAAGGAAGACCAGTAAAAATATCTGCAAATGTTTTCATCTTTTTTTTTTACAAAAAAATCCATATGAAAGATTTGACACTATATTTTTATTAATTCTATTATAAAATAGATTAAGTTAGCACTGTGGTAAATTTAAATGGGTAATTATGGTTGCCAACTCCATTGGAAATTTGAATTGAGATTATGACCATATCTTGAGGGAAAGATTTTTTTTGGGGGGAAAAGGGGGGGGGGGATAAAAAGAAATTGTGGGGGGCCAATTTTTTCTCATTTCAGATTTCAGAAATTAAAAAGAATTATTCTTCAAATATTATTTTTTTTCAAATTTCAAATATTGAAAAATTTCAAGAAGTAATCTTTAATTGCACAGTATGGCGCATTAGATTTGTAAAATCTTTGATCACATTTATTTATTTGTTATGCCGAATCTAACAGTGTATTTAGATTTTTAATTTTGGGTCCAGTTTTCAAATTGGTCTACATTAATGTCCAAAGGGTCCAAAATTAAACTTTGTTTGATTTTAGCAAAAAATGAATATATGAGGTTCTTTGATATGCTGAATCTAAACATGTATTTAGATTTTTGATTTTTGGCCCAGTTTTCAACTTGGTCCAAATTGGGGTCCAAAATTAAACTTTGTTTGATTTCAACAAAAATTGAATATATGGGGTTCTTTGATATGCTGAATCTAACCATGTATTTAGATTTTTTATTTGTGGACCCCGTTATCTAATTGGTTCATATTGAGGTCAAAAGGGTCCAAAATTAAACTTTGTTTGATTTCATCTAAAATTGAATTATTGGGGTTCTTTGATATTCCAAATCTAACCGTGTATTTAGGTTTTTAATTTTGGGTCCTGTTTTTTAAATTGGTCTACATTGAGGTCCAAAGGGTCCAAAATTAAACTTAGTTTGATTTTAACAAAAATTGAATTCTTGGGGTTCTTTGATTTGCTGAATCTAAACATGTGTTTAGATTTTTTATTATGGGCCCAGTTTTCAAGTTGGTCCAAGATAGGGTCCAGTATTTAAACTTTGTTTGATTTCAACAAAAATTGAATATATGGGGTTCTTTGATATGCTGAATCTAAACATGTATTTAGATTTGTGATTATGGGCCCAGTTTTCAAGTTGGTCCAAGTTGGGGTCCAAAATTAAACTTTGTTTGATTTCAACAAAAATTGAATATATGAGGTTCTTTGATATGCTGAATCTAACCATGTATTTAGATTTTTTATTTGTAGGCCCCGCTATCAAATTGGTTCATATTGAGGTCAAAAGGGTCCAAAATTAAACTTTGTTTGATTTCATCGAAAATTGAATTATTGGGGTTCTTTGATATGCCAAATCTAACTGTGTTTTTAGATTTTTAATTTGGGTCCCGTTTTTTAAATTGGTCTTCATTGAGGTCCAAAGGGTCCAAAATTAAACTTAGTTTGATTTTAACAAAAATTGAATTCTTGGGGTTCTTTGATATGCTGAATCTAAACATGTGTTTAGATTTTTGATTATGGGCCCAGTTTTCAAGTTGGTCCAAGTTGGGGTCCAAAATTAAACTTTTTTTGATTTCAACAAAAATTGAATATATGGGGTTCTTTGATATGCTGAATCTAACCATGAATTTAGAATTTTTATTTGTGGGCCCCGCTATCAAATTGGTTCATATTGAGGTCAAAAGGGTCCAAAATTAAACTTTGTTTGATTTCATCAAAAATTGAATTATTGGGGTTCTTTGATATTCCAAATCTAACCGTGTATTTAGATTTTTAATTTTAAGTCCCGTTTTTTAAATTGGTCTACATTAAGGTCCAAAGGGTCCAAAATTAAACTTAGTTTGATTTTAGCAAAAATTGAATTCTTGGGGTTCTTTGATATGCTGAATCTAAACATGTGTTTAGATTTTTGATTATGGGCCCAGTTTTCAAGTTTGTCCAAGTTGGGGTCCAAAATTAAACTTTGTTTGATTTTAACAAAAATTGAATATATGGGGTCTTTTGATATGCTGAATCTAACCATGTATTTTGATTTTGGACATTGGACCATAATAGGTAAATTAAAAAAATTCAAGTTCTTAGACCACATTCTTTCTGTGTCAGAAACCTATGCTGTGTCAAATATTTAATAACAATCAAAATTCAGAGCTGTATCAAGCTTGAATGTTGTGTCCATACTTGCCCCAACTGTTCAGGGTTCGACCTCTGCGGTCGTATCAAGCTGCGCCCCAGCGAAGCATTTTATTTCATGATAGTGTCTTTTATTGCTTACTTTACAGTATGGGTTTTACTCATTGTTGAAGGCTGTTTAGTGACCTTTCGTTGCTTACATCCATATCATTCAGTCTCATTGGCAATCATACCACACATTCCTATTTTTATATTGAAAATTCTCAAAATCAAAAGTTGCATGTCAACTCCTTTAATAATAGGATGTAAGAATTTTTAGTCATTATATTGGTTTTAATTTTCAGCCTTTTGCATGCCCAAAGTCATGCTCAAAATTTTTTACTAAAACAAGTATTTGGCTATTATTTTTGAAGAAAATCTAGAATAATTTGAATGTATCAATAACAAAAACATTGATTTGATATTTGTGACAGCCAGTGATTATGAATATAAAGAGATTTGGGGTAATTATGTCAATGAGACAACAACACAATGACAAAAATAATAAAAAAACAGCTAGAGGGTAACCAACAGTCTTCAATAGCAGACTGGTGTCTAAACAACATTTTGAGCTCTTAATCTTCCAGAGTCTGTAATAGTTTTAAGTAAAGGAGTTGGTTCACTAACTCGTAATTTTTGCCTTAAAAATCTTTAATTTTTCACTGCGAAAATGAGGTGAAAATTTGTTGAAAACATATGCTAAAATGTCCAAAAGTTTTGCAGTTAAAAAACATTTTCACCAGTTGCATCATTAGTTGTCATATTGTAGGTGAATTTCGTAAAGTCCTGATTTTTGTGCGGAATTCTGAAAAATATATGACAGTTTTCTGAAAAATTAACAGTGGTACCATCCTTCGCCCACAAATATTTTTGCTGAAATATTCTTTACTTTTCAGCAAAAATTTCAATGGACGAGGGGTGGCGCCACATATAAAATCAGAAAAATGGTGGAAAAAATTGAAAATTTCCAGGAAAATGGACAAAAATAAAATCTTTCAAATATATCAAACATTTAGCAATACATACACATTAGATTTACTTTAATAATTGATGTTAAAAAAACCCACCTTTACAGGGACATTTATCAGAGTTCTTGGCACTACTCCTTTAGCAGAAACAATAAAACATTTGCCATTCACACCCCATCCTTTAATATTGACAATAGGGAGTAAACTATAAGAAGAAAAATTAAGGCGACAGTAGTTAAATGATGTTCAAATCTTGTATACTAATTTAGAAGTCAAATCAAGGTAAAAATCAAAGACCAAGGGAACGGCATGAACTTCAAAAGGAGTGAAACTAGGTCTGTTGAAAATATACCAGTGGAACTGGTAAGGTGTTAACTAAAATCCATGAATGAAAAAGGCAGGAGAACAAACTTCTGTTGTAGAGTAGACTGAATTATATTCAGAAAAATGAACTAACAATATATATGTTAAACATGCTAAATGTATTCAAAATAAATAAATATCATGTTCAAAGAAGTGAAATTATGTATAGATTATATAATTACTGTAAATTCAGTAATATTTGCATGTATTTATTATTGCGATTGTTGAAAAATGGACAAAAATGTGAGATTAGTTACAGCAATTCAGAAAATGTTGCAAACAAATAATACTATCAAATTTCAAAAGGCAAGTTTTTATTTTTGCAAAACCTATATCCCATTGCAACTTTCACAATAATAAAAATGTTGCAAATATTTTTGAATTTACATTAATTGATAATAAGATAATAGATATCTTTTATGTGTAGTAGTTTATGCTTGGCTAAAAAAGTGAAATACAGTAGTTCCTGTCTCATTATTGTAAATTTTCACCAAGAAGGGAGGCCTTGGGTATAGGGGTTGAGCTATAATGAAAAACTTTCCAGTCTCCAGTATAAAAATAGGCTTTTTATATATTTGGGATCGACTCTTTCTAGATGAGCCATATAAGGGGGAGGGGGGACTCAGCTTCACTGAATCAGTGCTTAATAAGAAAATGACATTTCTTGTTTAAAAAGGTATCAAAGTGACAAAAAATTGAAATAATTAGTATACCTGTGGATTCATTTATTTTCGTGGATAGCAGTTTTCGTGGATATTGGATTTCATGGTTTTGCCAAAGTCTGCATACATGCCTATAGAAAATTTTCACTTCGTTAAATATTTCAATATAACATGTATAACCACGAAATACACGAAAATTGATACCCCACAATTAAAAATGAATCCAGAGTATGATTCTTGTTAAAAAATATGAATTGAACAACAAATACAAGCTTATGCCAGTCACTGAGATCTCTTTAAAAAAAATTGACACACTATTATTTTCTTCATTTTAGATATTAAAGTTATTGATAGTAGCATGGAAGAGGAGGTTAACATTTACAATTGGACATTCTACTACAACAGGAGAGACTGATACAGTCACATGGAATGAAATACATCACAAAACAGAGTTTGGATCAAATATTTCTGGTCATGGTTTCCCCGATGACAAGTACTTTGATAACGTCCTTCAAGAATTATCAGTTCAGGGGGTAACAGAAAAGGATATATGACTTGATTATTCAGAGTTGTACGCATTTGGTATATCAGTGAAATCTGATTACATGAAAATGAAGTCATTTTGTTCTTTATGTAGGTAATACACTGAATGAGATCTTAGAGGAAATAATATCAAAGCTCATTGTTAACATAATGTAAATGGTTGTATTACTATTATATTAAGTACCTTGACAATAAAAATTGTTTGATCATGTATTGCCCTTTTGATCATGTGATACTCTTTTGATCATGTGGTTATCCATTTGATCATGTGATACCCATTTAATCATGTATTACCCTTTTGATCATATGATGCCCTTTTAGTCCTGCATTATCCATTTGATCATGTGATATCAATTTGATCATATATTACCATTTTGATCATGTGATACCATTTTGATCATGTGATACCTATTTGATACCCCTTTGATCATGTGATACCTATTTGATACCCTTTTGATCCTCTGTTATCCCTTTAAACATTGATAACCAATAGGATTGTCATCTTACAGTCTGTAGTTTCTGTCTGGCATAAATTATGGTTCAATTGCTGCTGAAAACAGTATACTTTAAATTCAGAACTTATTGTGTGCATTTATTATTATGATTTTTGAAGAATTAACAAAAGTGCGAGTTTAAAAATTGAGATTTTAGGAAAAGCTTCATACATATATATGTATAAAATATCAGAATGTGAGTTATTATTGCAATACTCAAGGAGTCGCATTATTCGCATTAATGTAAACCTTACATTAATTTCTGAATTTACAGTACTTTTTATGCCCCCGCCGTAGCAGAGGGGGCATTAAGTTTTATCCTTGTCCGTCTGTACGTACGTATGTACATACGTCCCAAAATTGGTTTCCGTTCTCTAACTTTAGTTTGCCTTAACCAAATGTTATGAAACTTATACACAATGCTTATTACCACAAAACACAGATCAAGATTGAATTTTGGTGGCGTCACTTTTACAGTTCTAGAGTTATGCCCATTTACAAACGGAAAAATTGCTGAAATATTTGTTTCCGTTCTCTAACTTTAGTTTGCCTCAACCAAATGTTATTAAACTTATGTACAATGCTAATTACCACAAAACACAGATTAAGTTCGAATTTTGGTGGCGTCACTTTTACCGTTCTTGAGTTATGCCCCTTTACAAATGGAAAAATTGCTGAATTTTTTTTCGTTGCCCTTCTCTTACTAAAGTTTGCCTCAACTAAATGTTATGAAACTTATCAACAATGCTTATTACCACAAAACACAGATCAAGTTTGAATTTTGGTAGCGTCACTTTTAACGTTTTAGAGTTATGCCCCTTTACAAATGGAAAAATTGCTGAATTTTTTCGTTTCCGTTCTCTAACTTAAGTTTGCCTCAACTAAATGTTATGAAACTTATAAACAATGCTTATAACCACAAAACTCAGATCAAGTACAAATTTGGGTAGCGTCACTTTTACAGTTCTTGAGTTATGTCCCTTTATAACGTTATATGCAAGTGGGGGCATCATCTGTGTCCCATGGACACATTCCCCATTTGTTTTGATTAATTATGAGTATAGGCTGTTCCAAAATTGAACATGGTGAGGAGGGAGACTCTCAGATTAATTGTGGGTGGTTGCATTTTCCCTAGAGTTTTAATTGAATTATAATAAGATAAAAAATTTATATAATGAGTGGTTGTGGTCTAAAAGAAGTGCCTCCTAGTCTCTATCGTGCATATTATTCTGAACAGCCCCGTTATAAAGTTTATACGACCGTATCCTTATTTGCACTGATCATTGATAAGTTTCAGTTTACATGGATTATGTGATATCTATATATTTTCAACATAAATTTCAATCATAATCAGTAAAGCAGGCGAAACATTTCAGCATGTGCATTCTTGTTTAAAATGAATAAATTAAAATAATACAATGGACATCACATTTGTTTCTATGAACATTTAATTAAATAGAGACCTTGGAGATTTTCAATTAGAAAGTTCATACATGCAATAACAAAATTGATATAAAGTAGCGAAGACAGTTTTCCATCACATATTATTTAAACGGAAATTTCATAACATTTTTTTTTAATATATATATATATATGGTGACCTTCTTAATCATGGTTGCACAAGGAGTACTTCAGCTAATGTTTAAAATCTCCTTTAAGGGAAGCCTTTGAGAAATGGATTTTGCATTCATCAGAAATGAGATTTTTACATGAATAAACTGAAATTTACTATGTATACCTTCAAAAAATTGAATTTGATTTTTTCTTGTAAGATATTATGCCTGTATACTCATATATTACTTTGCTGAATGTCGTTTATATTTTTTTTTCTTGTTATAGGATTGTTCTTTCTTTATCATGTCTGATATTTTTACAGCTGATCTACATGATTTCCTTTCATTGTATATTCATATATATATCCACATTTGTTACTTTACTACAACTACAATAAAACATAGTATCTTTTTCTTCATCTGATTTGTCTTGTTTGTGACAAATGTGAGACACAATGCCACTGATGATTCATCTTTTCTTCAAATGTGACCTACCAAATAAGACAAATTACCAGATTTTTACTTACATGAGCAACACGACAGGTGCTACATGTGGAGCAGGATCTGCTTACCCTTCCGGACCACCTGTCATTTTTTTTTTTTTTTGTATACTGTTGTTTGTCTTTTGATTGTTTTTCGTTTTTTTGCCATGGCATTGTTGGTTAGATTTCGATTGATGAGTTTGGATACCCCTTTGCTATCTTTTCCCTTTCTTAAATGAAATTCAAATTCTTGAATAACAAACTATAAGACTGGTATCTTTGATATGTTTTTACAACCTCTGCGTCGATGCAACTTATGTTGACATTGTCCTCGATGGTTATACTCTGTCCATAGTCTGCACGGGTTGACATTAACTATTATTGATACAGTCATTTTCTGTAAATTTACTGTTAATCAGAAACAGAACTATTGGAAACACTTCGGTTTTGTTATGCCCCACCTACGATAGTAGAGGGGCATTATGTTTTTCGGTCTGTGCGTCCGTTCGTTCGTTCGGCCGTCCGTCCGTCCGTCTGTCCCGCTTCAGGTTAAAGTTTTTGGTCAAGGTAGTTTTTGATGAAGTTGAAGTCCAATCAACTTGAAACTTGGTACACATGTTCCCTATAATATGATATCTTTCTTATTTTAATGCCAAATTAGAGTTTTGACCCCAATTTCACGGTCCACTGAACATAGAAAATGATAGTTTGAGTGGGGCATCCGTGTACTATGGACACATTCTTGTTACATACAGATTTGGTATAAAGTTTTTGATTTTTTTGTTTTTTTTAACGCGTTCTATTTCGTATTAGATTTGTTGCTTAACATGTGATGATTCCAGTGCCATTATGTATCTTGGTTAGACGAAATGAATGTCTGGTATACCAAATTATAAGCCTGGTATAATTATACCCCCGCTTTAAAAAAGTGGGGGTACACTGTTTTACCTCTGTCTGTCCTTCCGTCAGTCCATCCGTCAGTCTGTCCGTCCAATGAATATTTTCGTCGCATTTTTCTCAGGAACTTCTTGACAAGGATTTCTGAAATTTGGTTGCAGGGTTTATATAAGTAAGTTACACCGTGTGATGCGTTTTCAGATTCATCACTCAACAACTTCCTGTTTACCGAACACTTGTTTTATTTTACACATGATAGCCAAGTTGAAAATTTTCGTCACATTTTTCTCAGGAACTACTTGACAAGGATTTCGGAAATTTGGTTTCAGGGTTTATATAAGTCAGCTATACCGTGTGATGCGTTTTCAGAATCGTCACTCAACAACTTCCTGTTTACCAAAATATTACGGAGGGGTATCATCAGTGAGCAGTAGCTCACAGTTTTACTGGTTGATAACTTCTTATTTACATACGTTTTGATGATGTTGGCATAAATTGATAAGAGGTATAATAAAAAAAAAACACAAGAGATACCAGGTTTATAATTTTGTACGCCAGTGACAAGGGTGTCGTCTACAAGATTCATCGGTCATGCTTAATTCTAAAAATTTAAATGGCCAAAAAGAGCATTGAGGACCTAAAATTTTAAAAGGTTTTGCCAAATAAAGCTGAGGTAATATATTTCTTAGGGGAAATAAACCTTAGTATTTCGAACAATTCAAAGTTTTGTAAACAGTTAATACGACAATATCAAAGATTTCAAAGTTTTGTAAACAGTTAATTTATAAATATGACAATATCAAAGACAATTCAAATCATCACAAGTGCCGACTACTGGGCTGCTAATACCCTCGGGGAGGAAACCTCCACCAAAAGTGACATCGACCCAGTGATTATAAAAAAACTCATCAAAGATACCAGGATTATAATTTTTGTACGCCAGACAAGTGTTTTGTCTACAAAAGACTCGTCAGTGACACTGGATTCAAAAAAATTAAAAAAGCCAAATAAAGTAAAATGTTGAGCAAAAATTCCGACAGATTTCGCCAAATACAGCTAAGGTAATCTATTCATGGGGTAGAATATCCTAAGTATTTCGATCAATTTAGTTTTGTAAAGTTATAATTGATAAATATGACAATATAAATGATCAATCAATTCAACACAGAAGTGCTGACTATTGATAAGAGCCATTAATTGGCCCCTGAAATTGCAAAAATAAATAAATTATTCAAGCTAAGACTTTCAAATCTAGAATTATGTTAATTTTATTGTTAATTGAACAGACTTGTGGAGTCTCTACGACTTCATAAACATGTTGAAATTAACATATTTTACGCCTAGTTTTTGAACAAAATAGATAAAAATATTTGCCAAAAGTGATATTTTACACACATTGAAATGTTTTTTACAGTTTGTAGCATTTCGAATTCAAGAAGACAAAAAGGGTCCTTAACAAACCTTCTTTTGAGCAAATGGTTGGAGCAGAAACTCCCCCCCCCCCCCCCCCCCCGTTACCACCACCCTCCCCCACCCATCAAAGTTAATTTGGTGAGACATCAAGACACTGTAATGGTTAACCAATCCGTGAAAGGGATAAAAAAAGACCAGAAATATTGATTTCAGTTATCCTTCATAACCTTTTTGGAGTTTAATTTAATTTAATTTAATTAATGAATACCAAGACGTATCCCCAGGTTGTGTCAGCTCTTTAATGGGGAGACTAAGATGGGAGCCTCTCAAAGATCGCCACTGCAAAGACCGCCTCACCATGGCCTACAAGATACACAATAGATTGGTAGATATTGACCCATCAAACTATTACAAACCTGGAGATTCACGGACCAGAGGAGGTCACCGCATACACCAACAGCGTACTCTAAAAGACCAGTACAGGTACTCCTTCTTCCCAAGATCAACCAGGGAATGGAACACACTACCGGAAAAAACCACAACATCAGCTACACTCGAAGAGTTCAAGGCCAACCTTACCATTCCAGCCAGAGGTCTTGAAAGGAGCTTCTCATACCTAGAACTCCTTAGATCCCAGATGTATATAGTTTTAATTTGTAAATAATAATTACTGTTAATAGTTACTGCTGGTTTTGATAAAGGAGGAGGAAAGGCCTCATGATTATACGAGCAATAGTCATTATACGGGTCATTTTCAAAAAATGTCGAATTTTCAGTACACCCATGCTAAAATTTGTATTTCTAATGGAAATTTCAGTTGTAATGGTTTAAATGAAAGCTTGTCGGATTTATGATTCAGAACATCGATAATAAACACGATTTACATCTATTTTGATAAGATTAAAATGTATTTAAGTCCGATTTTAGGGGTATTTGTGTGCGTACAGTGTCAGAAAAACACATTGCAAATGATTTTTACCCGATTTTCTGATCGCATTGATATCTGCAAAAGGGACTTTTTAAGAACGTTAATAATTACTCTAACGAAAAATCGTAGCTTCTTAGTCATTATACGTAACATATTATCTACAAACTAAATTCAATCAGCGTACGGGAGGTTCATGTCCATCCTGTTACCGCTACTTAAATCAGCCGTGATATTGTTCTCCCTATGAATATCGAATCAGTCAATGTTGATTTCAAAAGTTCAAAGTTACCTTTACATTTAAAACACCACGTTTCTTGTACGACAGTGTAGAGAAAAGAAATTTTAAGACATTTAGTGAAAAAAAATAGAGGGTACTTTTTTTCATGTCTATGCTGTTACCAACAATTTCGATTAATTACACCAACAGTATACTTGTAAAAAGTGCAATATCGTGTTGGAAATCAAATTCACAACAGAAAACCATAATCACTTCACCAAAGGGAGTAGTCATTTCACAACAGCATTCAAAAATGAAGAAATTTGTCTATCCTGTTGTGTCTATCCTGTTACTATGGTTGCTATGGTTACAGTAACAGGATAGACAATTGTAGACAGAAACGTCGTTAAAAAAATTATCTTAACATATAGTTGCAAAACGAATGAAATATTTCGTGGTTTGAACTCATCTTAAAGTTATAACGTCTTATTCTTCCCAATTAAGCATTTGCAGGTGCAATACTGATATCGGTAACAGGATAGACAAAAAGGTAACAGGATAGACTTTTATATAGTGACATATCATAAACGTACGTTCCTGTTACCAATGAAATAAAGAGAAAAGTAAACTAACTTATGAGGGATTTACTTGATGTCGGGTTTATTTGAAAGAGAGAAAAAAATGCCGAACAATATGAATTGCTATCTTAGACTTGCATTACTGGTGGTAATTTTTACAACCTTTGAAAACCAATTTTTAGAGGCATTTCTCAGTACAACCTGGAAAATTGGCAAATAATCTATTATTTTACAGAATGAATATATATAGAAGTTTATTCTCTTGAAAACCTTCTAATTGGCTACGTAAAACAAGCTTAAAATTTTATCTAAACCTTTTCTTAATAACCCAAAATTTCTTTTGAAAATGGTAACAGGAGAGACAAAATATTGTACCACCTATCAAAAAATGTTTCAAGATATTCTTGTATGACATTATTAAGATTGCATCTTTTAACATGTTGTTCTTTAAGTACTGTTTGTTTTGATTTGCTTATGTAGAGGGTTGTTTGAATAAGTAACTTTTAATAAATTTTTCAATTTCAAAATTCGACATTTTTTGAAAATGACCCATACACTCAAGAAGAGTCCGACTCTGTATTGAAAGAAGAAGAAGAAGAATTCCAGACTACTCTCATAGTGAATCTTTCGTAAAGAGAATATCTATGATCGTATCATCTGGAACACGTAATTAATCATCAATGGCACAACAGCATAGGCTGAGACTTTACGTATGTTTGCACTCAAACAAGACATCATAATTTATTGGTAACCTGGAATCATGGCATTGGCTATGCATTAAAGGTATCCGTCAAATTCTTGATTTTAGGCAAAAGGCGAACGTAGTTCATCATTTGTTTATCTCAAAAACTAGTTTGAATGTACGACTGAAATGAAAGAAAAATAAACCAGAGGGAATTGCATGATTTCAAGAAGAGTGAGACTGTATTGTACCATGCAAGAATTACACGCAATGCAAATCCACTACAGCAAACATTTCACGATATGGAACAGAGTTATATCGGTACGTTTTCAGATCAGACGACCTTCTGGAGTGTTAAGATCCAAGACCGCGAAAATATGTTTCTTTAGAGTTGAGACCCAGACACATCGTATCGGTCAACCAGTTCGTGATGGTGACCGTAGAACTTATATATATAGTGTCGATTTACGTCGTTCTGCCTCATTTCACTGCTTTCACCAGATATGTGTTTGTATTTGGAGTTTAAGTAATGAAGCACATCTATGAAGTTTTATACAGTATCATTATTTTCAAGTTTATTGTTATATTAAGCATGTTAAGTATAGCTCGGGAACATTTGGTCCTTGTTCGTCCCCAGTGGATACTAGCACAGGCGCTTAGCCTGGCACTAATTGATCCCTTTTTTTTTAAATAAAAAAATAAAAAATGAAGATTGCTCTTTTTTGTATTTAAAATTCTAATTACTTTTTTTTCTTACTATTTCAACTTATTTTCTGTGCTCTTGGCCTTATCCATACTATCTTACAAAAACTGAAGTTTATACTTGCTATCCCTTTTCTCTTATGTAATTTGTTAAAATATTAAAGAAAATTAATTATACATTTTAGATTTTAAATACAAAAAAAGAGAGCAAAAAAAAAAAAAAAAAAAATGCTGATTATGATATTTGTTTGATACTATTCTGTATGAGTGTTTTTGTTATAAAAATGTCATGTCCGCCTGTGTTAGGGCTTTTTTAAAGATAACCCTGCGCTACAAATAGTTCAATTTGCCAGCCATTTATATTCATGTTATTAACACAGTTAGTTACACATGTTACAAGTAGAATGTATTTTAGTACGAACGCGTCAATAAACAATCAACGTAGTTACATCGAATAGAAAAGCGTCAATAAACAATCGATAAAAAGGGTTAAAGAAAAAAGGTAAACATTTCTTTCCTATAAAGTTAAATTTGTATGTTTTTATGACAGAATGTTACTTGTTAGCTTTTTTTCTCTACAAATGTAATTTCATATTTTGTTCAATCAAGTATTTAAGTAAGAAAGCAGAACTTAATGCATACTTCGTATGTTGTACGATTTTATTTTTAAAACATATAGAGAAAACTAAATATAGATATACTGCTTTCAGACACGACGATTGCAATGCATTGATGGTCATCGATCCGCAACCATAATCGCTCAATCTGATATTGTACGACTTTGCCCCCCGCAGAGCTATAGAAAAACAGTACATTAACGGGTGTTACACGGACTCTTTTTAGATGATACACGGACTCTTTTTAGTTGTTACACGGACACTTTTTATGAATAGATTCACTCGTGCATGATCAGTGAGTTCATGGGCACTTTAACTTTCAATTAGATTTGAACTTTTTGGTTCACCGACATATTTCCTGTCTTTTTATTAAACAAAATATTTACGTTAGCATCAATATCTTTTTTCAAACATTTTCAGTAAAATACTATTCATATCAGTACACTAAGGGATTAGACATTTAACTTCAAAAAGGGGGGGTATGGTTTTCTCCTAAAAAAAGATATTTTGATCCCAAATTTTATGAGAAAAAATTTACCATGGTCAAGCAGATGACAAATTAATGTTCTGCATGATTCCTGATACCGTATAGTGCTAATTTAAACAAAAATATTTGGGTGATGGCGTTGAAAAGTAAAAAGTTAATATACTCAGAAAAGAACCGCCCCATTTATGAAGCGAAATAATCGGTCAATAAATGTTTTCTTCGATATATGGACATGAATAGTATTTTGGACAATGCTGAAAGTAAAGAAATGATGATACCGACGTTCATATTTCAATAAAAAAAGACAGGAAATAAGTAAATAAAAATCAAATCTTATCAAAAGATAAAATCCCTATCAACTCACCAATGCACGATTGATCCTATAAAAAAAAGTGTTCGTGTAATACACGTCCAAATAAGCAGCAAATCTAGAAGAAAATCATTCAACTTATGTCATCAATTTTGGACGGTAAGCTGCGATTGGACCATATAGTAACACGTGTTTAATCCCGATCAACACTTGCAGATCTAGAGACGAGCATGAATTTAAAAAAAAAATCAAAGTATATGCCTGAATATATATAATATTAAGACAAAATCCATTTTTTCATAACATTTCATTCACTAATGAAGTAGGAAATTCATTTTTTTGATACATTTATATTGTTATTGAATTTATATATACATATATATCAGTTGCGGATCCAGCCATTTTAAAAAAGGGGGTTCTCAATCCAGGACAAAACATGGGAGGGGGTCCAACTATATGTCCCCATTTAAATGTATTGATCGTTCAAAAAAGGGGTGTTACAACCCCGGGACCCCCACCACTGAATATTGAATTCATGTATTTGGCAACAAACGTGCGATTTTTACGATTTTTTTAAAGGGGGAATGGAGGGATGGAATGGCACATTCTGCATTTTTTCATCAAAATAAAGATCACAGCCTGTTTATTTTAAATTAAATTAGGCCCCCCTCCCCGCTTTCCGTTTCATCCATAAAAATCAAACGTTAGCTTACTTACCACAAAAATATTTCTGTAATATATTACTTTTTTACGAAGTTGCATTTTATAAAGTCTTAAATGTGTACAACATTCATCTTTTACTTGATATGGTTCTTTTTTTATCAAATTATTAGATTCCTGATTTTTTTCTTGAAAAAAACTCTCGGTTGAAGCGAAATGAAAAAAAAAAGTGTGTTTATACTATAACTTACATTTACTGCTTTATGGCTATCTAAGTTTCTCAAATGTTTAGTCTTGCAAAACGTATTATTACTTTCTTGAAACGTCGTACAAGTCAGATACAAAACAAAAGTAACAAAAAAACAGGCCGGAAACAACCTGCCGTATAGTTTTGCTGCACTTGTAGTCAGGTCAAGGTCCTCGGCTATCGCCTCGGACCTTGACCTGACTACTCGTGCAGAAAAACTATCCGGCAACGGTTGTTACCGGCCTGTTTCTTTGTTACCTTTGTATTGTATCTAATACAAACAACAATTTTCAAATGACTTTTTACTGGAGAACTATTTTGGGGAAGAAGTTGTTGTCGATGGAAAAAGGGGGAAGAGTAGGCCGTTATCTATCCTTGTTATCATTTTGAACCATTTTATCTGTTTGTATTATTTCTAGGGCATACTAATTGTCGATTTGTTAATTTTGTGGACAATAGTATATATATTGTCTAAAAGTTATTAATATTTGGATTTTTTATTTGGGGGGGGGGGGGGGGGGGGGTTGGCTATACCATGCGTGTATATTTATACCTTCCTCTAACACGTTTACCTGGATTAGGTAGAAAGATATTATATCGTGAGATTATATTAAATGAATGAGACATGTCTGAACATTGTTTATAACAAAAAAAGGGCGTAAATTGCCAATGGGAAATTCAAAATTCATAAGTCCAAGAACATGAAGAAAGACCGACTAAATCATTTAGTGTTAATTAAGTCTCATTCGTAGATGTCTCAATCGAGAAAAAGAGGACGAGAGAATGGCTACGACAATTGGACCAAATCCATGGTCATCTGTGATACAGATATCCCATAACGGTCAACCAGCTGATGATGGCGCCCGGACTGAAAAGTTCAGGAGGATGACTTGAACTTTGCCACTAGGAATCCTTGGTTCAATAGCATCCTTGAAAGCAGCAACCCTCTTTCAAGAAAATCATGATAGTAAACACAAGCTCTGGAACATCGTTTTAAGTGGGAGATACATACTCCATATACAGACGCAAGTTCACAATTGGGAAACTAAAATCATCTCTTTTGTCGTAAAATTTGTTCTCAATCTACTCTCATAGTCAACGTCTAGTGTAAAAGTGTAAATAAGTTTACTCCATTGTCCAAATAAGTTAAGACAATACTAAAGTTCATTACACTAAGTAAACAAACCTGCGTACAAGGATGCGTTTGAACGAAGGGGTCCTAATGGTAATTACAAAGTTTACGGACTCCATAATGACTTGGTTGACCGTTATTGGATATTTGTGTCACATGCGACTATATGGACCGATTGTCGTAATCTCAAACATGTCATTGTGACCACAGAATGCAACTTATAACAGAACGTTACTTGCCAAGAGCACCGCAAAGAATGTCACAAGTTGAAAAAACACTACTTGCCCTTGTGGACCACACGAGTTATATTGAGGGTATTCATGTTGCTCAGTCGTTAGATTTCTGAGTAGTGTTTTATGGACTGTTGCTTGTCTGTTTTTATTGAAATTGTTATCATGACTCTAGGAAATAGCAATATGACTTGCCGTGTTTACTATTCTTCTTTTTAAATAAATTTCTAGATTTATTATTTTGTTTTTTTTAGATATGGAAATAAACATTTTACCCCCAGAGATTTTACTTATGATTTTTATATATCTAACATGGGAAGAACGGATTCTTGCAAAAACTGTTTGCAACCTCTGGTACAAACTTTGCCGTTCAAAAAGTCTATGGAGAAGTGTGAACGCGACTGCACTACACTCAGACACGAATTTATGTGATATATCATCAAACAGGCACCATATTAGATATTTAAAAATCACTCCTATCTTGTTACTGAAGATGTTACAGTATGATGATACTGTAAAATTTGAAAATCTTTCACATCTCAATTTAGCGATGTATGATGTAGATAGTGTACACATATTTCACTTGATAATTGAAAGATGTTCTAACATTAAGATGTTGAAATTCAAATGTTGTTCTGCGCAAACATTAAACAAAGCAATTAACTCAACAAAAAATCTTCTCTTACACGAACTTGATATTATTTTTAACGGGACAGATGCTGCCATTCCTGCTATCACGAAGTTATCCGAATGCAATCCAAAATTGCGGAAACTAAGTATCAATACTTTGTCGACCGGTTTATTGAAGTATGGGATTCATAGCTCAAAAACGATATCTAGCATTAGAGCAAACAACATCAGTCTCTGCCATAAAATATTTCTGAACATGCCTGTTATTCACACATTATCTCTACTTCACCTCGATTCAACTGATATAGATGATGACAGTTTGCTTATTATTTCTAAGAACGCTCCAAATTTAAACAGTGTATCGATAATTGGATGCAAATCTCCTACAGAAAAAGGGATTTTGATATTTACGTCCTCTTGCAGAAAACTTGAGTACTTTCGAATGGGAAGTAGTTATCAGAAATTGTCTTTGTACGCCATTTCACGCGAATGCAGTGCTCTCATGTATATTGACGCAAGAAGTACTAGTATATCTAGCCATGTCCACCTGCAGGAACTTACAGCATCATGTCATTGTCTTCTTTCTATTAGACTGCTTAATGTTACTGGCCTAGATGATCTCGCAATTGAAATAATTGCTGATAATTGCACAGAATTAAAGGATGCACACTTTAGTGGAAGTAGCGATATTACAGTATCCGGTGTGACATATATGTTAATCAAATGTAGAATGCTAACGGAATTGATTCTGAAGTCAAGTTATAATCTACGTGAAACTAGAAATGTAAATCGACTATTGAGGAATACATCATCAAATAAACTTTTACCGAAAATTAAAGATTTCAAAAATGCACACACTAGTAATGCATCTGAACCTTTTCGAAATTCTAAACAGCTGTTGACCTCTTCTAAAAATGACAGTAGTCATAGGAATATCTTGCTTCATTTAGAACCGAGAGTTACCCAACTAGATACAGAATCTGGTTTAATTTCTCGTGGCAAAGTGACAACAACGGTGACGAAAAAGGACCTATTGAATTATTCACCAACAAGACACTGTGAATTAAGGACGCTTAATGTTACTTCATGTAACAATTTGACCCCAGAATCAATGGTTTATATAACTAAATTCTGTCCAGACTTGAGAAGTCTAATCTGTTTAGACTGCAAACAATTCATGAGTGTAGAGGCGAAGGTTATTCTGCATGGAATATTCCGGAACTGTTTCTTCATTAGATCCATCAGTTTAGGAAAAGATGACACAATATATAGCAGTAACTATCCTCTTTAAATGAAGAAAACATTAAAAAAACTATATAAGTGTCATGCGTCTGAAGCGCTTTTCTGGATTTAACGCTCAAAGCCGAATATTTGAAAGACAATGATTTATAAGAACCGAAGACGGATGTCAAGTTGGTTCAATATTCAACATTCAACATTCAACATTCACATTTTTTTTTTTTTTTTTTTTTAGCATTCATTTTCGTTTTCAACATTGAACATTCGTTTTTAACATTCGATTTTCAACATTCAACATTCGTTTTCAACATTAAACATTCGTTTTCAACATTCGTTTTCAACATTAAACATTCGTTTTCAACATTCGTTTTCAACATTAAACATTCGTTTTCAACATTCGTTTTCAACATTCGATTTTCAACATTCAACATTCAACATTCGTTTTCAACATCGATTTTCAATATTCAACATTCGTTTTCAACATTCAACATTCAAATTTTTTATTCTGTTATGATATTTTTTTTCAATTTTTTTTTTTTTAACATTCGTTTTCAACATTCAACATTCGATTTCAACATTCAATTTTCAACATTCAACATTCGTTTTCAACATTCGTTTTCAACATTCAACATTCGTTTTCAACATTCAAAGTCAAAACAAATGTTTAAAGTTGAAAATGAATGTTGAATGTTGAAAATCGAATGTTGAAAACGAATGTTGAATTTTGAAAATCGAATGTTGAACACTAATGTTGAATGTTGAAAACGAATGTTGAAAGTTGAAAACGAATGTTGAATGTTGAAAACGAATGTTGAAAATGGAATGTTGAAAATGAATGTTGAATGTTGAAAACGAATGTTGAATGTTGAAAATCGATTGTTGAAAACGAATGTTGAATGTTGAAAACGAATGTTGAATATTGAAAATCGAATGTTGAAAACGAATGTTGAATGTTGAAAACGAATGGTGAATGTTGAAAATCGAATGTTGAATGTTGAAAATCGAATGTTGAAAACGAATGTTGAATGTTTAAAACTAATGTTGAATGTTGAAAACGAATGTTGAAAAAAAAAAATTGAAAATAAAAATGTTAACAAAAAAAAGAATTTGAATGTTGAAAGTTGAAAACGAATGTTGAATGTTGAAAACGAATGTTGAATGTTGAAAATCTAATGTTGAAAACGAATGTTGAATGTTGAAAACGAATGTTGAATGTTAAAAACGAATGTTCAATGTTGAAAACCAATGTTGAAAAAAAAAAAAAAAAAAAAATTGAATGTTGAATGTTGAATGTTGAATATTAAACCAACTTGACATCCATGAACCGAAGAGTTATTTGACCAAAAAAGCACCTAAATAATAACCAAATCCACCTCAGGTCAACTATGCTTGAGGAATAGAAACCTTATATTTTTTAATAACATATTTTATATCTTTTCGAGAGAAAAAAAAAATCACAATTTAGAAAGTTTCTTATTTATTGGTTTAAGTGTGGAAGCAGACAATGTAAAGTAGATAATTTTATAGGCGAAATGGATAGCTTATCTTCATATTTTTATAGGTGTCAATGTGTAAATATTTCAGTAAAGATTTATTAACACTACTGCACGTCTTTTGTGTTTTTGTTATTTTTTGTATTTTTGTTGATTTGTATCGATCTGATGAGGCCCTTTTCAAATGATTTTAACTGGTTGTTCTCATGTTGTACTGTTTCACCACTGTGTTAGGTCAGGGGAAGGGTTTGGTGCCGGCAAACATGTTTTAGCCCGCCACTATCTGTGCCAACAGTTTCAAGTAAGGAGGTTGTCTTTTGTTGCTGTAAATCTTATTTGTTTTTCGGTTAAATGTTTTGTACGGAAGTCGGGCCGTTAGTTTTCTTGTTTTACATTTTTCATTTGAGACCTTTTATAGCTTACATTGGCATGTGTTTTGCTCATTGTTGAAGGCCATGTGGTGACCCATAGTTGTTAACTTCTATGGAATTTGGTCTCTGGTAGAGAGTTGTACCATTGGCAATCAGTTTTGATTTTGTGGTCAGAAGGCCACAAGGTAAATGACACTAAATGGAAAAATGGTTTTCGGATGGTACCCTAGTTCACTTGATCGTTTGGAATGAAACCTATACAGTTGAAATATATAGGGGAGAGAAAGATGCCTATTGATTTTTAAGTCATTACGTCATAAAATCAAGGCAACTGTTACCAAAACTAGAAAAATAAAAATAAGATGTCTCCAGATAGTATCATTGAGTTCCCTTGATTGATTGAAATTAAACTTATACAGATCAAAGATGTAGTGAAAAGAACGAATTTAAGCCTGTTGATTTTGGGGTCAGTATGTCAAAGGTCAGTGTCAAGGTTACTAAAAATGGATCTTTGTTTTGAAAAAAGGATTTCCGGATTATAGCGCGTGATTGCATGTATACTCAATTTTTTTTATTGTAATCTTTGGTACCTTACTAAGCGAGCTACCATTTGATTTTTATGGGGCTAGGATGAAATTTGAAAAAAAGGCAGGACAGGAGTTTTGAGTAAAAAAAGGGCAGGATGAGCAACTTGACAAAAAAAAGGGCAGGATGACAATTTATGTAAAAAAAGTCAGGTTACACTAATAAAAAAGGCAGGACAGAGATTACAACAAAAAAAATGCAGGACGAAATTTTTTCATCCTAGCCCCCCCCTCCCCCCCCCCCCCCCCCCCCCAAAAAAAAAATCAAATGATAGCTTCCTTACATTTAAAACTGATGTGAATAATATGATAAAATTGAGAATGGAAACGGGAATGTGTCAAAGGACAACAACCCGACCAAAGAGCAGAAAACAGTCAAAGCTTGAAGGCCACCGATACAGTGAGAAAAACCTGCATCCGGAGGTGGCTTCAGCTGGACCCTAAATAATAATGTATACTAATTCAGCGAAAATAACAAACAAACATTCACAATCTAATTAAAATTAAATCTCCGCACTTGCTCCTCGTTGTTTATATGTCGCGCGTGACATATAAACAACGAGGAGCAAGTGCGGAGATTTAATTTTAATTAGATTGAAACATTCAAAGCATGGTTTAACAAGAGTGCACACGCTGAAATGTCTCGCTTTCTTTACTAACCATTGATATTATGTTGATAGTCCTAAATATAAAGCTTTACTACAACTATCACATAGACTTAACATAATCCAAGAAAATGAGACCAAGGTAAGATAAACCAAACAAGAAATACATGCACACCTTACAATCATTCAATACACCAACTATAGTTGACCTATTGCTTATAGTTTCTAAGAAACAGACTTAACCAAGAAAACTAAACATTGACCAATGAACCATGAAAATGAGTTCAAGGTCAGATGAACCATGCCAGGCAGACATGTACAGCTTACAATCCTTCCATACAACAAATATAGTTGACCTATTACTTATGGTTTAAGAAAAACAGACCAAAACACAAAAACTTAACACTGAGAAATGAACCGTGAAAATGAGGTCAAGGTCAAATTAAACCTGCCAGACTGACATGTACATCATAAAATATTTCCATACACCAAATATAGTTGACCTATTGCATATAGTATTAGAAAAAAAGACCAACACTCAAAAACTTAACTTTGACCACTGAACCATGAAAATGAGGTCAAGGTCAGATGACACCTGCCAGTTGGACATATACACCTTACAATCATTCCATACACCAAATATAGTAGACCTATTGCATACAGTATAAGAAAAAGAGATCAAAACACAAAAACTTAACTATAACCACTGAACCATGAAAATGAGGTCAAGGTCATATGACACCTGCCAGTTGGACATGTACACCTCACAATCCTTCCATACACCAAATATACTAGACCTATTACTTATAGTATCCTAGATATGGACTTGACCACCAAAACTTAACCTTGTTCACTGATCCATGAAATGAGGTCGAGGTCAAGTGAAAACTGTCTGACGGGCATAAGGACCTTGCAAGGTACGCACATACCAAATATAGTTATCCTATTATTCATAATAAGAGAGAAATTAACATTACAAATAAATCTTAACTTTTTTTCAAGTAGTCACTGAACCATGAAAATGAGGTCAAGGACAATGGACATGTGACAGACGGAAACTTCGTAACATAAGGCATCTATATACAAAGTATGAAGCATCCAGGTCTTCCACCTTCTAAAATATAAAGCTTTTAAGAAGTTAGTTAACGCCGCCGCCGCCGGATCACTATCCCTATGTTGAGCTTTCTGTGACAAAAGTCGCAGGCACAACAAAAAATTGAGAAAGAAATTGACCAAGCAACACAATGAAAAACGATTAACCTGGAGATCAGCATATGACATTTAGTGATGGACTATGTCAATACAATATTTAAGACATTAAATCATCCCGAGCTGAAACAGAAACATATAATTTAACAAAGACTACAAAACATCGGCCATCAATACCAACCGTTTCCCCCCAAACATATGTAGAGAAACAATACTTGATCACATAACGTAAAAGCAGACCTGTCATTTCATAAAGCCTACACAAAACCTACTGCACCAAAGATTTTCATCTACCAGAATGTCTTAGAAACCTTTACTTTCAAGGATGTGCGATTGGCCAATTTCAAATGTTCGCTCACTAATTGAGAAACGCATAAAATATGAACAGGTCGTGGATGTTTTATCCTCTCGTATCTACATAAATGTTGTATTCTAGCAAATCAAGCCTCAAACAATATAGTTTTTTAGTTTTCATTATTAGAAATGTATATATAACTTAGGGAGTAACCATTTCACTTCAAGGAGGGGGGAGGGTTATGTTTTTTTTTCTGCGAACAAATTTATTTAGTTTTTTGACGCTATGAATCAAATTATAACACTATAAGGTATGGGGAAAATCTGCATTCACAATATTTTTTTTTGTCATCTGCTATCCCATTCTGCTTGACCAGAATAATTTTTTTCATCAAATTGGGGATCAGAATTTTTTTTTTTGGAAAAAACCGTAACCCCCCCCCCCCCCCTTGAAGTTAAATGGTTGTTCAATTAACGAATTGAAATTCACAGCAAAAATTTGAATCCCTCATAAACTCCTTCATCATTCACGGACAAATCACGAATCCGTCCTTCTCTAAGTTGGCATTAACATAAAAAAAAAGCCTTTATACTGAGTACATGAACTTTTCTAAAATCTTTACACAAATGATACATAGCCAGGTTGTCGAAATGTTCGACTAAACATTGTTCTGAAGTTCTTACAACTATTCTTTCTTCAGTACAAAATGGTCTTCACAAATAATGTTATGAGGTATATCCAGCTAGAGTTGCCAATTATATATGGAATCTTAAGAAGTTTAT